GGGCAAGAACCATCCTCTCCCCCGAGCTGTGGCTGGGACCCCCGCCCCCCAGAGCGGGATGCACACAGTACACGGTGACATAGTACACGGTGACCAATAAACAAAGGGGCGGACTCGTTAGGCAGCTCCTTTTGCTGGGCCTCGTTGTCCTTCGGGGGTGAGGATAAGATGTCCCCTCTACTGTTCCATGCGGTGGCCCCACCCACCTCACACGTGTCATCACCTGTGGGGCCCTAGCTGGGGAAGGGGCGCTGTGGACACCTGGTTTTAGGAGGAGATCATCTCCACCAGGGCCTTCTGGGTGTCCGAGGGAGAGCTTGGGAACAGGAAAGGGACACAAGCCTGCGGGAAGCGGAGGAGGGGCGTGGGAAAACAAGGTGGCAGATGGGGGAGGAGCGGGGGTGGGGCGGGGGATGGCCGGCCCTGTCCTGCACAGCCAGGTGTCCAGAGCAGAGCTCAGAAGGACCCCACACATGGGCCAGAGCCCTGTGAGGCGGGCCTCGCCCCTGGCGCCCCAAGGCCACCCAGCATGGCCTGGAGGGCAGCCCACCTCTCCCACCCCCCCTGACGTCCTGCCTGTCCTCTCTGCTGCCACCCAGGGCCTGGGACAGGGCCTGTCCCCAAAGAGCTCTGTCCCGCCTCCGCCTCACCCCTCCACACCCTGAGGAGGCAGATTTAGTGAATGGCAGAGCCCAGCGGCCGCGATGGGGGAGCAGGCAGTGGCTCGGCTACCAAGGCGGGCCAGCTGGGGTCCCGTCCCAGCTCTGCCCTGAGGCTCTGTTCCCGGGGGGCGAGGCCGCCTTTCAGAGGACGAGGACGAGGACTCCACACAATGCTGCTGTTTGCTCTTTACTGGTTCACTGAACAGACACTGGAGAGCACTTTCCGGGGCCGGCCCGGCTCAGAGCACGGCACACACGTCCTGTGAGGCACGGATGGCGTGAGCTCCATTTTGCAGATGAGGACGCTGGGGCTCAGAGGCAAAAGGCGCACCCAGCTCCAGAGCTAGGAGGGGGCTCACCTGGCAGGCGTTCCGAGTTGGGGGTGGCCCCGTGCTGCTTATTTTCAGCCAGCGACTGAAGACGACGCATAATTGCTGTCACAAACCCAGTTGTGGACACACACAGACACACGTGACATGTGCACAGAGCGAAGGCCTCAGATAGCAGTCCAGGCTGGGGACCTGAGGAAGGAATGAGGGGTCATCGAAGCCCAGACCGCCTCCCACCAGGTGCAGGGGGGCCTTGGTGGACCCCTACAGGGGGGAGTCACGAGGGCCACTGTGCCCTGGGGTGACCAGAGCTATGAGTCAAGTGCCCAAAACTTAAAGGATGCAAATGCAGCCGCTGGCCCGGCGGTCCTGGGCGGGGCCGCGCAGACAGACAGCTGTCCTGGAGGCGGCGCGGCCGCGTTCCAGGCATTTCGGCACCTCTAGGACCCGCCTGCTCCAGCCCGCAAGGGGGAGGGAAGGGGGCTCGGGCGGGCGGGCCCCACCGCCAGCTCCCCACGCTGTGGCCGTCCCACCAGGTGCCACCCCACCCCACCCAGGCCTGGCCCCTGCTGGGTCCCGATGGGACCTGCGCCATCTGCTGGCCAGAACAGGGCTGCGGCTCGGGCCACCTGGGACTACACGGGGCAGCCATCCTGAGACCCCGGCCAGCACGGGTGCCCGGAGCCAGTCTCTCTGGGCCTCAGTCTTCTCCTCTGCAAAATGGGGGGAGAGCAGCGGCGTCTCCCCCCGCCCCCCGCTGCTGACAGGGACCAACAGGACGAAACAGGAAGAATGCTTGGCACAGAGCCCGGGCTGCGGCTCGGGCCACCTGGGACTACACGGGGCAGCCATCCTGAGACCCCGGCCAGCACGGGTGCCCGGAGCCAGTCTCTCTGGGCCTCAGTCTTCTCCTCTGCAAAATGGGGGGAGAGCAGCGGCGTCTCCCCCCGCCCCCCGCTGCTGACAGGGACCAACAGGACGAAACAGGAAGAATGCTTGGCACAGAGCCCGGCACACGGCCAGTGTTGAATAAATGTCTGTGTGCGTAAGTGGTTTTCAAGACACACAGTGAGGTGGGGTGAGGCGTAGGGAAGGACACAGCCCACTGGGGGTCAGGGGAGGCTGCTGAGGACTACGGTACAAGCGGGCGTGGGGGTCCTGGCAGGGGGGGCATGTGCGGCCTGTAGGGTCTGGTTTGGCCAGAGCAGGAGCAGGTGGGGTGGGAAAAAAAGGAGCGGTGTCGGCAGGCTGGTGGGCAGCGGCCACGGGAGGATAGGAAGGACAGAGCTGCCAGCGCACGTCTCTGCTGGCTCAGAGCCTGTCCAGGTTGAGTCGGCTCCCGGCCCAGTCAGGTCCTGGCCCCCCACCCTGTGCCTCCAGAGGCAGCAACACCCCCAAAGCAGCCGGCCCGTCTCTTCCACTCTGCCTCCCCCCCTCCCGGCTCCCCAGGCCAATCGCTTCCCCTGCTCCAGGGAGAACTGGGGGTCATTTCAGTCCTGTTTCGAGCTGGACGCCTTCCCCCGGGCCAGCTGGGCTGTGTCCAGGCAGCCAGGTCTCGGACAGGAGCCACACGCAGGCCACCCCCCCCACCTCCGCTCCACACTCAGGCTTCCCTCCTTGACGGCAGCTCCGCTCCAGCCTTTCCGCGGGGGGCTCCTGGGGCACCCCCAGGCCCAGCCACCTGTCTCCCCACTCTGGGGCAGCCCCTCCTCAGACCCTTCCCCCCTTAATCACGGAAACACATGTGCAGCCGCTCTCGCCTTCCTCCGCCACCCCCCCTCCTCCCTTCCCCCCGCATACAGCCCTGGCCCTGGAGTTTACAGCTGCAAAACACACACACACACACACGCACACACACACGCACACACACACACACACGCACACGCACAAAACCAACTGTGGAATGTTTTCCTGCTTCCGAGCAGGGCGCACAGCTCCGGAGAGTTCTCTGCTAGCACCTGACGTCTGATTGCCTTTCCTCGCCACACGTTTTCCACTCCTCCTGGGACCTGGGGCAGGGGGTCAGGTCCGAGCAGGAGCCGAGGGGCAGAGAGGTGGGCAAGGATGATCAGGGTGTCTGCAACGGGCCGAAGGGGGTCGCCTGCCTCTTGCCCAGAGCTGCGTACACGGCAGGGTCTGCTTTTCCCATTTGCAGAGGGAGCCGGGCTCCTGAGTGCCAGACTCAAGTGTACGGCGGCCCCGCCTCCCTGGACTCCCATTCATCCTTTTAACAAAGTCATTCATTCAGCAGTATGTGTCGAACACCTACCATGCGCCAGGCTGGGACACGGGGGGCTCAGGTGGCGCGCTGGCCAGCCGAGCTCCGTGGGATCGCGGCCTGAGCGAGGACGCGGCAACGGCCCGCACAAAGCTGTGGGTGCCGGCGCGGGAGCGGGCGGCGAGTCGGGGCACCCCAGCTCGCCTGGGACGGGTGGGGAGCCTTCCCCTCAGACGGCAGAGGAGATGGGAACGTGTGCTCTCGGGGGAGGAGGAGAGGCTGGGAGGAGGGTCGGGGTCTGAGAGCTGGTGGGGACGGGTGTGCGGTGGCAGAGGTAGCAGAGCTGGGTGCAGGTGGCCCAGTGGTCTCCTCGAAACTTGAACTTCACCCCCGAGGGCTGTGGGTGCCTTGGAAGGTGCTTATGCAGAAGAACGCCATGAGCAGATGTATCAAGCAGAATCTTTTATTGCAAATGGCACAAGTGGGCTCTGGCCAACTTAAGACACAAATAAGATTTATGGAAAGGTGTGACAGAACCCCCGGATGGAAGGGTGGGCAGGGCAGCCGGGCCTCAGGGGGCCAAGCCGCAGCCTCACGTGGAGGCACCGAGATGCGTCAACACCACCCGGTCCGACTCCCGCTGTCCCCACGCTCAAGTCCAGTTCTCAGGGGAACAAACCTGTGGCCTATCCACACAGCGGACTGCTACCCGCCCGGCAACCAAAGCAACGAGCCACTTGACACAACGTGGGCGAATCTCAGGGATTTTCCGGTGGAAGAAGCAAAAGAAGCCAGCCCCCAGGGAATGCAGGCTGCGCGGTTTCATCTGCAGGAAGTTCCAGGACGGGCAAAGTCGAGAATCGGAACAGTGGCTGCCTCTGCTGGGGATGGGTCACCGCGAAGGGCACCAAGCTGTACGCTTAAAATCTGTGCAGGTCATCACGTGTGACATCATCATATCATTATAATATGACGGAAAACAAAACAGGAGGAAAAGCTGTTCTTTTGCTGACAATGAATAAAGAAACGAATCAGTCGATCAATGAATCGAGCAATCATTCCAGGGAGAGAGTCGGCCTAAGTGGCTTATACACTCTCATCCTTCCCTGGCCAGAGGTGAAGGGGGCACCGGGCCAGACAGCCCCCTGAGACCTCGTGCACCCAGGGAAGGTAATTTCCCCAGGGCTGGCCCAGGAATGCTGAGACCGCACACCACACCCGCCTTGCTCCTGGGAACGAATAGAGAGGTCCTGGTCTGTGTGTTTCAGGTGTGAAACAATGTAACCGAGCAGAAAAGCATGTCGGTTTCATTCACCAAGGAAGCCCAGGTGGGAAAAGAGCCGGCGAGTAAGAGGTGCATGTGGGCTGGTAAAGCGTGGAACTTATCTACAAGGTCCTTCCAGCCATGGAGTCGGCTGACCTCAGGTTCTCTCCCCTCAAGCCGCTGTGGACACATAACTCAAGCCACAGAGTCCACTGCCCCTCTCATTCCGGGCTCCTGAGCTCCCTGGGGAGGGGGCCAACATGGAAGTGGCTGGAAGTTGAGGATCGTACCTGTGGGGACTTTTCTCCAAGGTCGTTGCCTCAGAGAAGAGACGTATGGTCTCCTTGGATCAACGACTCTGGCCTCTGAAAAAAAAAAAAGAAAGAAAGAAGAAGAGACACAGAGACTAGTGCTGATCACGTGGCTCATCAGCTGTCGGGCCCTCTCCATGTGCTGCTAGGACGTGTGCACTGTATCCCTGCCTCCCGCCGGGGCATTTGGGCCCCAGCTGCCACCGGAGCCCCTGCTGAAGGGAGCGGGCCTTGTCCCTTCGGATTTGCCTGCCCCGGAGACCCAGGAGGCCTGCGCCCCCGCCTCCTCCCCAGCCAGGGCCTTCCTCCCCTGCCCATGGGGACGCTGGTGGCCAAACTCCTCCTGCCAACGCTCAGCAGCCTGGCTTTCCTCCCCACCGTCAGCGTCGCCGCCAAGAGGCGGTTCCACATGGAGGCCATGGTCTACCTCTTCACCATGTTCTTCGTGGCGGTGAGTCTGCGCCCCGGGGTGGGGGCGGGGCCATTCGCCCACACGCGGAGCAGAGAGGCCACCCTCCCGCTCCTTCCCTGGATTCCGTGATTCGGAGGCGAAAGAACGAGCCCGGAGATCCAGAGAGAGGGTCGGAGGTGCCCCTCCTCCGCTCTGGGCCTCGGTTTCCCCCCTGGTGCCGGGAAGTTGCTCTGAGACTGACGAGGACAGCCTGCTGAGCACAGGCTCTTCCAGGCCACCCTGTCCCTTGCCCCTGGCCCACTCTTCAAGGCCACAGGGGCTCCAGCTTCCCCTCCCGCCCCCCACCTCTCCCAGCCGTAAGAATAAGGTGGCCGAGCAGGGAGGAGCCAGGGAGCCAGGCCCAGGAAGGGGAATCAGACGCCAGATAAAGAGCCAGAGACCAGGAGGGGGGGAGCTGGGGCGTCAGGGCTCGGGCGACTCATCTCAGAATCCCGGAGCCGCCCCGCGCAGGAAGGGCCGGCTCGCAGCCTCCGTCGCTCCTGCCTGGGGCCCCCCTGTGTCTCTCTCTCTCTGTCTCTCTCTCTCTCTG